GAGGGTTGTCGTCTCGCTGCTACTGGCAGCCTCTGATGGCCCACTGGATTGGGGCTCGGGGTTTCCGCGCAGGATGTTTGTGATAATGGCCTGTAAAGCCTCTCCATTCTTTTCGACAGCTCGTCGGAGCTGTTTGTCGGTTGTGGCCGCCAGTAGGTTAATGTACCCACTGACAATACGCTCAGCCTCTGCAAAGCGTATGTTAAACACCCTCGCTTCGTCTGCGAGGAAGTTAGTCAAGGAAGCACCCATTGACTCGGGGGGGTTTGGGGGCGAGTATTGGCAGCTCGCCTCGCAGATCGGTTCTGCGTTTGCTTGTGTGTTGTTGTAGTGGTGGTTAGGTGGCCCTGTGAGGACCATTTCGACGTCAGGACGCGTCGAATTTACGGGTGGGAGGGGGGGCCAAGAGCCAGCCTCTGCGGAGGACTGGGGCGGCATGGCGAGGAGCAAATCAGAGAAGGTTGAACAGTAGATAATCGCGTGTCTGGCGCGTCGAGACAGTTCTTTGGGATGGACGTGAGGCGTGGATAGCTATTGTGCTGTGTGGCGGACAGCTGGTCGGACTCTTTTGTAATTTCTAGGTGTTGTGGTATTCCCCCGTGCGTGAGATGGCTGGGAGTATTGAGGTTTCTGGACGCGCGTTGTTTACCTAGTAAATGGTGTGTGTGTGTGTAAGAATGAAATGTTATCACATGGTGTCTCGTGGCTCCTAACTACAATGGATCTTGTGTAGAGCTTGAGACTAATACGTGAATTCTATCTCCCCCTAAATGCAGGATATCTATGCGCCTATATACATCAATACTCTATTATCCCTCAGCTACAGTGAGATCTGCTCTCGTGACTGTGCGATCTGATCGTGACAGATCATAAGACACCAACATTTTGTCTATGTGCCGTACATCCAAAATTTGATCAGTACGTGACAATGTAGATCTTTTCAGGATCCACTAAGTGGCAAAACTCTCAGCTCAACTTCAAGCAACAAGTCCAGGAATGGTGCGGAAAGGCACAACGTATAGCACAGTTTATACGTCAAACAAATTCCGTACAGCGCGGCGCAGCCCCGGGACCTATGTGTTAAAGTTATGAGCTTGAGCGAAGATGGAGGTTGTAGCGGAATCAGTGTCGGCGGTTAGATCAATGCAGTAAGTCTTGTATGAGGTTGTGAGAGGAAGATCCGTGTGGAAACAATTGTATTTAAATTTATGGTTCTGAGTAAAACCGAGATGATAAGAGTGAGATTGCGTGTTTGCATATCTTATCAACTGTGGTTTTTGACCAGTATTTATCAATCTCCATGGATCGTAAGTTATGATCCATGCAGATGTAGATCTATGTACATACACATATATGGGCCAGGAATATAAAGCTAAATACACGTGTGTCGGTAATAGATACGAGAAAACTATAGCCTGCATTTGAGACATAGTCATCCGCTGGAATGCTAGTGTGAAATAAACGCTAATGCGCATTGAACTTTCGGTGAAGGATGTATTGATAACAGTGATATAGAATGGGGAATTTGATAGTTAAATTCCCTGGACTTACTAATAAGTTATTCTTGGCATTCCAAGATATATCATATTTCAACACTATAATCAAAGAAGTGCAGGCTTCTATCCTCATTTATTTTTATTCACATTGTATTCAGCTATTGAGCTATGACAAGCTTGTATCCTTAGTACAGCGCTATATGGAGCAGAAGCGTGGTGGCCAGGGCTCACCCGAATCACAACTTAGCGGGGCAAAAAGGTTGGTACAGGAGTAGGCTGGCACACCGATCTCCTTGACAGCACAATCCCGAAGGCAGTTCGAGCGGCGCTACCCATGTGGCAAACTACACCAAATATGGCGCTACACAGAGATTCTGGCATCCCCCCGTCTGCTGTTATCTTAGAGCAGAGAAAAATGCTAGCGGAAGCACGGATTCAAAGGTTGGACGCATGATATCCGTTGTTATCCAGGTCTAGAGAGGGTCCAAAGGATACAATAAGCCGCTTAGGTCTCCGCATAGGCCAGAAGAGCTGGTCATTCAAGTTCCCAGAACGGTACCTCACGCTACTTCAGATCAGCGCCAAAATGTGCCGATGGCCGAAGGACCCGGCAAATTACACTTCCCAAAAGCAGAGTGCATCAGAAAAATTACTGGCAGTGACTCTCAAGACGAAGCAACTTATGCAAAGCAATGGATAGCAATACTGTTAGCCGAGATAGTTTGTGCTTATTCAGATGGATCATCATGTGAATCGGCTTGCTCTGCATGGGAGTATACCTTATACAAAGGAGACCAGCTGATTGGGAATGACTCTGGTCCATTGCTAAGGGCGGAGGATTACGATGCTGAAATCATTGGAGCTCAAAAAGCCCTGGAAGGAGCCATGGTAAAAGCAGGCAACTGCCCGATAAAAGTGGTGCTCGGCAACATCACAGCCGTGAGAGCTCTAAGAAACGGCGAGAAAAAAATTTCCCAGGCTGTAGCAAAAATATTCACAAGACTGGCACTACAAGCCAGATCAGTTGAGATCCGATGGATACCAGCTCACGCTGGAATCATGGGGAATGAAGATGCAACCAGACTAGCTAAGAAAGCTCTAAGGAACCTACCAGATGAAACGAACATATTTCCCTCAGAAATGAGGGACAGACCTAAAAACACTTTCGCAGCCCTCAATCGGTTTGTCAGGCAAAGATGTGAAGAGGCAGTGGAATCCTGGTGGCTAGATCACAGACCGAGCCGCTACAAAGAATTGGATCTCCCGATGAAATGAAAACGTCCACCGGAGCAAGCACTTCCGAGGTGGGCGCATCACAGCCTTATTGCAGCAAGAACAAGACATGGCGATTTCAGAAAATATCATGAAAGATTTGGCCACGAATTTTAAAACTGCAAATGAGTGTGCGGAATAGAGAAAAGTCCTTGGCATTTTGCCTAATGCCGGATTGCTCTACAGCAATGGAGAAACTCGAAGCTTGTACTACCACCGAGATGACGAGAGATACTAGCAGAAAAGGGTTGGGAAAGATTTCTCCAGTTCTTAACAGTAACTAAGTGTTACGAGAGATAGATACCACACTGGGAGGACTAAGTCCTGCCAAAATGTAAGTTTTTCAGGACAAAGAGTTGTGAGGAAGGAGAAAAGGTGTAAAGCACTTAATTTTCTTCGAATTAATTCATTATTTATATTTTGCGTATAGATTTGACAAGCAGACTATGTATTTAGGTTGTAGTTTGTCTCGAGGGAGCATAGACCCGTATCACGCCTATTGGGTCTATGTCGTAAGCCTGATACAAAATGAATTCAGATCAAATCAAGACTCATCGACCTCAAAACATTGTCATCCCTTGATAATTTGCTCAGGGAGAATATTTCATTCCTAGTTTCATGGAGTAAATCGTGGACAGGCGCTCATTCTTTACACTTCCATTTATTTAGCCACGTCAAACACACAAATATGTAATAATAAATTAAATGAACAAATTAAAACAGTTGAATAGTTTTTAGATTCTCCTTTGGCAGGCTGTTACATTTGAATAAAGGCTACAAGCTCGAGGAGTAATATGAGCAAGTAAATTTGACCGCAAATGGCTTTTAGTCTGAATGTCAACTTTGCATTTGATTTTATTATCCTGATTTTGTGTCTTTTGTGCTCATGCATGTGTCTATAAAATTTTCTATTGCCACGGAAGGAATTATCTCTGTAAAATATCACCAAACTTTCTTGGTTACTTTCTTTGGTTTTATCATCTATCCTTTGTGAAGCGTGGTTGCACTTTAGTGACACCTATTGAGATATGATATATCTTGGAATGCCAAGAATAACTTATTAGTAAGTCCAGGGAATTTAACTATCAAATTCCCCATTCTATATCACTGTTATCAATACATCCTTCACCGAAAGTTCAATGCGCATTAGCGTTTATTTCACACTAGCATTCCAGCGGATGACTATGTCTCAAATGCAGGCTATAGTTTTCTCGTATCTATTACCGACACACGTGTATTTAGCTTTATATTCCTGGCCCATATATGTGTATGTACATAGATCTACATCTGCATGGATCATAACTTACGATCCATGGAGATTGATAAATACTGGTCAAAAACCACAGTTGATAAGATATGCAAACACGCAATCTCACTCTTATCATCTCGGTTTTACTCAGAACCATAAATTTAAATACAATTGTTTCCACACGGATCTTCCTCTCACAACCTCATACAAGACTTACTGCATTGATCTAACCGCCGACACTGATTCCGCTACAACCTCCATCTTCGCTCAAGCTCATAACTTTAACAACACCCGCATATACCAATCATCATCTATCCTATACACGCGTACCATTATACTTATCCTGGTTTCTTACAACCCGTCGAATCGAGCAGCACTATGGCAGCGCACAATCAGCCGTCGTCCTCGGCTTCAATCGACCCAGGCGACCAACTACACCCGAGCCTTCTTGAGATTGCTGCTGTGATGGAGCAATCAGAGCGCTAACAAAAGCAGAGAATGTGCCTAGCTCAGGGTTTTCTACAAAATATCGACGCCTGGGCGAAATCAAAGGCACGAACTGAAGGTGCGGTTCTAGTCGCGCCTTTCATCGAAAAAATATCACCTACAGTGATAGCGTTTGCAATAGGAAAGACCTATGCTACAGTCCCCAAAGGCAAGACCCCACACCCCGAAGTCACGGGGTTAACAACCTCTGCGCCTAGGACTACAAAAACAAGCAATAAATTGCATCACCAACTGCCCCAAAAGCCACGGCAGATTGCGAGCCCGTGGGTTATAGTAGGTCGCAAAGCGGCTAAGCTCCTAAATCCACCCGTGTTCCCCACCCCTCGAAGGCCCACTACAGATGTAAAGCCTAATGCACAAGTGTTAAGGTTATGAGTCATATGGGAACATAGTTACTTGTCACTTGTTATGTCTGATTGGAGTATGTAGAGGATGTGTTCGACAGATTTCGATACTGTCAGAAGTATGAATATATGCTATCTTGTATACACCTGTATGACCCATGTCATAGTCTTAGTTCCATCTCGTGATTGACTATCTATAGTAATCACATTACCAATCCAGCGCCCCTGAATAGCTGATCCAGGGGCGACCGTACTGGTTTCCTTTAGTGACACTCGAGATACACCTGTACACTCGATGCTGTTGCATATACGCTGAGTGGTACCCGACCCCTTGCGGCAAGCACTTATATTCCAGGGGCTTATGGTGTCGCCACCCCGATCGCTTCCATGTATAGTTTTTACCTGGGCGCTCCCGCGCCCGAATCTTGGTGGCGAGCAGTAGATGTGCATGTTGCAGTGCTAGGCGTGGGTTTGCACCTTCGGTACCGTGACCGTTATTTGTCGGTACTATCTCAAAAACAAGACCCCCCAAAAGAAGACAAACGTCTCTTTGTCAGATCGGGGCAAGAACATGGCTGGCGCAAATTGTCTCCAGTCACAATAAAGAAGATGATCACTGAGAAAGTGGGAGTTGCAGCATCTGCGATCACGGATATATATCAGGTTCGATCAGGCCTAGCACTGGAGTGCGCATCAGACGGGCTTCTAGAAACAATACTGGGAGTTGCAGGAATATTTCAGCAAGAAAACATCTGCATCAAAGCAACGTCGGATTGGACGTCAATGATAGTGCCACACTTACCACTATATATCAGAACACTTGAAGGCAGTATTTCGGTAACTAACGAAATGGTTACAACAGAATGTCAAGCTAGATGTGGGTTCACATCAGTGCAGGTGCGACCGAATCCTGCTAGGCTCGGACAATATTCCACGAGCTGGATTATTCACTTCAAACCGGAACCGGCAAACTGTAAGTTCAGGCTCTTCGACGAAAGCGGACCTGCAATTCAGTTCGTTCGCCAACGCCCTATGAAACAGTGTCGGAGATGCTGGGAATTTCACAACATACGGTCTTGCACTGAAGGGTAAAGATGCAGAAGATGCAACGGAGTACACGAGGCAAATGAATGTCAATTCAGGGTACCTAATTGTGCAAATTGCGCAGGTCCTCACGAATCGACCAACCTGAAATGTATGGCGCAACCTAGGCGCCAGAACGGAATATTCCACCCCCGCACACCAGCGAAATAAGAGTTATTCGAGAACATGGACATCGTAACTTTCAGGCTGCATTAGCGGAGTCGGAGAAAAAGGGTAAGGCCCCAGAGGTCGTGTTCACCGTGGAAGACACAATGCAAAATAAATGAGTTGTACAACCACAACTCATAACAACACCGAGCAACGACACTCCCTTCTATTTCACCAAGTGAACGTAGGAAACGGCAGAGAGAGTATGGATATCGCACTTCAGCAGGCAATGGAGGCCGGAGCTCACATTGTCATGGTACAGGAACCATGGAAAATGCAGACAAATGGAGGACTTATCACAAAAAGTCACCCGGGCTTCAACAGTTACAAGCCGACGGGAGCAGCTGGGACCCGTCCGCGGGCAATCAGCTTCGCCCGTAAGGGTTTATTGGCAACGCAAATATTCCCTTCGTCCCAGGATCAAACCGGCGATTACTGCTTTGTGAAAGCTTACGGGGTGACTTTTGTTAATGTATATATTGCACCGGGCCTTAATAATACCCTCGATCCTTTGCTTAGATAGCGCCCCTCAGGCCCTGCAATTGTAGGGGGGACTTCAACGCCATCTCAAGGCACTGGCAACCACAGGCTACTCGTCAGTACGGCAATGGTGACCAAATAATGGAATGGGCTACAGCTCAGGATATGCATTTACTTACCACTATTGGCGTACCTACACACAGGGATGGAAATGTGTTGGATCTTGTATGGAGCAACGTCACAGCAGAGGCATTGGTATCACACGAGTATAACTGCACCCCAGACTATATGACTATCGTTGGGTCCATTGAAGCGAGACGAAAGCCCGATATGTCTAGAATAAGCCAGGAACTGCGGCTACGCGATCAAGACCTTGCCAAGTATGCCCAGTATGTCAAATCGTGGGTCAGACCAGGCCCTTTGAACAGCGTAAGCGACATTGAATGCCAGCTATCAAGCTTGATGGAGGCTTTGGGTGACGTACGCAAGGCAGTAGGTTACAAACCTGCAAGAGCGCGAGGAATCACTGCTCCGTGGTGGAATGAGGACTGCAAACTTAAGCACTGCAAATACCATGAAGCTAGAAGCTGCCCAGACAGCGGGGCAGAAGTCCGGAAAAGGTTTAAGCATGCGGAAAGAGCGGCAAAAAGAGAACACTGGAGGAAGCAGGGTGAGAATGCTACGACAGACTCACAAGTCTTCAAATTGATGCAGTGGACAAAGCCCAAGATAGGCCGAGATCCTCCCCCCCCTTAAAATCGCGGAGGACACGTAGACATCAGACCCATTCAAACGAGCAGAAGCTCTAAGGGACTCTCTTCTCACCAAATTTGACGCGGCCCACGATCTCTCCATGTGGGAATCCGAACAAACAGAGTCGATCCCGTGGAATGCGACAATATCACTAGAGGATGTAACGACAAGTACTATTGGCTCAGGCAACAAGTCCCCAGGTTCAGACAAGATAACAGTGCGACTTCTGAGAGCATGCTGGCCAGCCATTGGGCGGCAGGTAAAGAACATCTTCCAAGCGTGTTTAGAGTATGGGCATTTTCCTACCATATTCCGAGTAGCAGAAATCATCATGCGTCCAAAACCAGGACGGGACCTAGAAACAGCTAAAGGATGGCGACCGATCTCCCTTCTCTCTTGCTTGGGCAAAGGTCTAGAACGAATAGTAGCCAAAATAATGGCGTAGCTAGCAATCGAACATTGTGTTGTCCCTCAACAGCTTTTCGGCGCACCCCCAGGACGCTCAGCAGTCGACCTTGTTTCATGTGTCATACATGATGCAGAGACGGCAATGCGGAACAAAAAGGTCACAGCAATGATTACCCTAGACGTGCAGGGCGCATTTGATGCGGTTTTTCACAAACAGCTGTTACACTGGATGAGAAACCAAGGGTGGCCCAGGCTATTATGCCAATGGGTCCAGTCATTTTTGACCCGACGAAGGATATGAGCTCGACACCAGGATGGAATGATCCGAGACAAAGACGTGGAGCGTGGGGTCCCGCAAGGCTCACCACTATCACCACTATCACCACTACTATTTCCCCTGTATATTTCCATTCTATTCAAAAATGGGAGCGAGGTCAACAAGTTTGGGTACGCAGACGACATCGCCATTCTCACCACTGGAAGCACAGCAGCTAAAGTGGTGGAAAATAGTGAAGCAGAAGTGGAGAAGCTTTTGCGGGTTACTAACGAGCATGAAATACGTTTTGACCCGTCGAAGTCTGACCTAGTGATAATTGGAGGGGGTCCTAAGAAAAAGCTGGACACAACAGGCTTAGCTATCCAGATCCAAGGTAACAAGATAATACCTTCCCCGTATATCAAATGGCTTGGGGTATGGATAGACTCCCAACTCAACTTCAAGCAGCACTTGCAAGAGTGGTGCTGGAAATCTTAAAGGCTAACGCAGTTTATACGGCGAATCAACAGCGTTAAACGGGGCGCAGGCCCACAACCAATGATCAAGGCAGTACAGGCATGTATCGTAAATACAGCTATGTATGGAGCCAAAGCATAGTGGCCGGGCTTGACCCGGGTTACCACTAATCAGAACAAGAATGTGAGCACGGGAATCGGCTGTAATACTGATCTCTTGGACAGTACAATTATTAAGGCAATCCGGGCAGCACTACCGGCATGGCAAACTACCCCGAACAAGGTTCTCCACAGAGAGTCTGGTATCCCCCCTGCAGCAATCATCCTTCAGCAAAGGCAATTAAGAACTGCGGCGCGAATTCAACGAATGGACTTGTGGCATCCTCTGGTAGCCAGATCCCAAGAAGGTCTAAAGAAAACCATAATCCCCCTAGGACTCCGCGCAGGACAAAAGAACCGATCGTTCAAAAATCCAGAGCGCTACCTGACACGTTTACAGACCAGAATTTAGAACGTACCGCTCGCTGTGGAGTCCCGAAGACTTTTCTATCCAGCATCGGATCGCAGCTACCAACCAGCGAGACTAGCCAGGGAGTTTGAAGCCACTCTAGCCAAACAATGGATAGAGCACTTGCCAGCCGGCACTATATATGCGTACTTAGATGGCTCATCCTGCGGGCTAGCAAAATATGCATGGGGCTTTACTCTATTCAGAGGACGAAAAATGATTGGGAGCGGCGCAGGCCCATCGCTTGGTGTAGAGACTTATGACGCGGAACTCTTGGGAGCCTAGAAAGCCCTCGAAGCAGCTCTACTGGTGGCTGGCAGCAACTCAATCAAGGTACTCTTAGATAGTTTACAAGCTGTCCAGGCCTTACGCAGTGGTAGGTCTAGTTCTTTCCAGGGAATAGTCAACAAATTTGTCAAGGACTGTCAGCAACATCGGTCAGTGGAAATTCGGTGGACACCAAGGCACTCAGGGATCGAGGGAAATGAGATGATAGACAAGCTTGCCAAAGCCGCCCTAATTAAAGTCCCAAATGAGGTGACCAATGAGGCACTCCCCATGGAGGTGCCCCGCAGAATAAAATTTACGTTTGTATCACTCCACAGATTTGTCAGGGAGCGCACGGAGGGACTAGTTGTAGCATGCTGGCAGAAAAATGCGCCAAAGTACTATACAGACTTAGATCTTATGATGACTAGGAAGCGACCACCAGAACTTGCTCTACCCAGATGGGCCTACCACAGGCTGATTGCAGCTAGGACTGGGCACGGCGATTTCACCAAATACCATGAAATGTTCAAGCATGAAAATTTCGTAGCCAAATGCGAGTGCGGTCGAGAAAGACGCCCTTGGCACTTTGCAGAATGTCGACCGGCCCTAAAACGGTGGAGAGGCATGAAACGGGAACCTCCCCCGAGGGCAATTGAGATGCTTGGAGGAAAAGGTTGGGAGATTTTTATCGAATTAACAACTGTAACGAGATGTTACAGGGAAAAGGCCGTAGATGGAGAGTCATAAGCTCCCCTAGGGGTATCACTGGTTATTTTAGTAGTTAATTGCTGGGAAGAATAGGACACGGCGCAGGGCGCTTTTGTTTGGACTCACTGTATTGTTTTCTTAAGTTTATTTCTCATGGTTTCTTTGGCAAGTAAAGACATGCACGTGGGTAGTAGTGAGTCTATAAAGCTCACATATCCGTATCACGCCTATTAGGTGTAGGGCACATGCCTGATACAAATAGCAATCAAGCTCAATCTCAATCGCATATACCAATTACAGCCTCTCCAATGACCCGCAGATTTTCTCGCACTCTCTCATTCCCACAACAGCATTTCGACCGTCTTTGTCATCTGTAATTTTTTTTTGCATCAGATCTTAATTGCGTATGAAGCTATGATTTAGGATCCACTGTGTAATTCTTTTGATTTCGCAATAATTATTTATTATTCTTTCGAACGATCCTCAGCTTATCTCCAGATCTCCCTCTCTACCGTTCACTCGTTGATAGCAAGACATAATCATATGCTTGGGCCCTGTAATTGAAATCCACATTGAAAGCTTGAGCTGTAGATCCCTGATAATTTATTTGTATGTAAATACAGGATGATCAGCACATGATCGTTTCGTGTTCGTATACTAGACTGCTTTGGGCCCTTGCCAGGTTTGGGTGAAGAGAATATTGCGACTCCATAAGTCTTATGTTGCACTAACCCGAATGTCGGCTTCAACAGGACTTAATTGCTCTCCAAAGTATAGAGTCTTGGATTGGGACTTCCTGCGCCTAAATGATACATCATAGAGTTTACCATGATTTCGCCCATTCTTGGTACGCTGCGGCCTTTTCGCCCCTTTCTGCTCTCTTTTTCATTAGTACACCATGTAAATCTCTAACCAGTCTACTGAGTCTAATCTTCTGTTATTTCCTCCAATAAATCCTCTTTCTCATTTAGGCGGCTTGACTTTACTTCAGGCGGCGTGGATTGTCTTTCGACGAGTAGGTCCTAGGACTGGCCGACGAATTGGAGCCATTGATACTACAAGAAGATGTCTATTATTAGGGTAGTATTAGAATATTAGAATATCCTAGAGCTCGTTATTATTTAAGCTCCTGTGTATACTTTTAAGCAATTTTTTGATTAACTTGAAAAGATTTGACTATCCTTACATACCTTATGCTACCTGCCCCAGTCTTCGTCGAAATCTGGGACTCAAGTATAAGTCTCAATTTCACTATAGTGCTATATAACACTATCACTCTGTGGAACGTCACTCATTACGTAGGCAATTCTTATCCACTCACTCCCTGAAACTTCCCATGCCCTGTGTCAGAAATTCGATTGAGAAACGATCACCAATCAAAATATGTTGAATTATGTTCAAGAAGCAGCATAGTTTATAGCCTAGCGTGTAAAAAAAATATGAGATAGGATTCCTCTAGGTGAAATGATGGTACCTAGCAATTATGACTCATCAACATGCAATGTCACTTTTTTCCCCTCTTTTGCTCAAGTTAAAAAATGGTGAACCTGGAATATTATATAATGAAACTTTTATTTGACGATAACTTTATACTGCTATATATGTGTGTGAAAAATTAATATTAACAAAATTTAGAACTTAAAATCTATATATCTGATTGTTTTAGTAGAACCCAATCCTAAGGTGTTTAATTGGAGTCTTCCATAGTGCCGGAACATAATAAAGCGATATAATAACAATTCTATTGTTTGAGAAGAGGAAGAGTTTTAGCTACTGGACCTGTAGCGAGGTATGCGGCATTGTTTAATCTTTCGGATCGTAATTTTCGAATGTAGCGGAAGATTAATATGAATGAGAGTTCTATCCTTTTCAGACATTAGCTACTCATTCTAGTTCCAGAAGATTTGGTCGTACCTTTCCTTTGTCATCATAAGAAGACCTTGTACAAACAGCCCTTTTAATAGTTGAGGGCCGATCCCCTTGAAGAGCCCGAGCGCCCCCTCATTTTGAAAAATAAATTGTAGAACCTCAAAAAACGACTCGAATGGCTTATTTTCTCTCGAAGGAGGGGGTTTTGACTGCATGCCAACTTTTGCAACAATAAGAGGTTGAGTAATAATTGTTGCTAATGATTTAGACATAGCGCCGAGCACTTCTCAAAAAGTTAGTGCTTTCAAATATTATACGATATTAAAAATAAACTTACAAAATGCTTCCCAAGGTTGAAGGTTCACCTTTAGAGGGAAAATAGATTCCCGCAGCTTCTGATACGTTCCGTATGTTATGGCTGGGTTTACTACAAGAAACAGGCTAGCTTTAAGGCCCCTCCACAACCCAGATAACCCATCTCTGCTCTCAACAATTTCTTTTGCAGTATCTATCATACCCTTTTGTAACCCCTTGGCTTGCGTTTGTTGTCGAGTTGTGATGACCGCAACAGGTATAGTGAAGGCTTGAGCCGCAGCTCCGGCGACGGCTCCTAAACTCAGCTCTGCCGCAGTTCCTAGAGCTCCAGTCTTATTTAGGTAATTAATATATAGTGTCCTTACTATCGAATACCAATAAAAATATGCAAAATTCGTTGACGCAACTCCGATGAGAGCGCCGTTAATCCCGGTGTAGAGACCACTAATCCCATCATTTTCGATAATCTTTTTAATCGCATCTAAGCTGGAGTTATAATGAACCAAATCGTTTTCAGAAGGTGTACGACAATCAGGTACGTCAAGTCCTCCTTGTTTAACCTGCACTTGAAGACGTGTCTTTACGCTAGATAGATTACATTAGCGCTACAATCCAAGTTATTTGCGAGCAAATTTTCGCCCCTCTTCTTGCCTACATGTCCAATGGGTAAAGCAATGCATTGGCGATGACAGCACCTGTAGCCCCCGCAACTGCCAGCCCCCATGGAGGGATGGGGGCTTCTTTAGACTGGCCAGTCATTGGTATCCAGTAGATAGGTATACTTTTGGTAGTTATTGGTCTTCTCTTTAGATAGTACCGAAGGTTGAAGAGCCAGTGATGGTGGGCAATGATTGTGGTGGTCTGGTGTAGTATGAGAGCTAAGTTTACGACAAGGTCGGCTCTAGATATTTAACTTAGTGTCACAGCGCAAAGCACTCACAGAACAGCAATATAACAATAATAAATTCTCTTTACATGTTTGCTAATGTGAATAAGCGGCACAATTCTTGAGTAGATATCGCTACGAGACTTTGTTTGGGATGGTATAGAATGGAAGCTAGAGCCCAGGTAGGGATTTTATGCACCAGAATCATAACCTGGCTCAGAGGCAAAAACTTTTTATTCACATTGCTAAATCCTAGATAGTCTGCAGAATTACAAGCAATTTACTCATCTACGAAAGAAGAAGCTTTACACTTTGCTATTCGTGCCGCTGAATTGTACGTCAGCGCATCCAAAGTAGCAACCCAGGATCACGCGAGAACAAGATTGCGCTCAAAATTTAAAGAAATTGTACAATGGGCAGAGCAAGTTAAGGCCTCCAAGGAATGGACTCCCAAGCTGAAAAGTAATCACACGACCCCTCTTAGAAACCCTATATCCCAAAGGGAAATCTCTAAACGGGAGAAACTCATTCTGCTGCAAGGCTCTAAACTCGATGGCTTCACATTCCCAGTTTGGAAAGATTTGTCTCGTGAAGCCTATGTGAATGAGTTTTTCAATGATGTGCAGTACACGTATTGTACCTCTCTTAAAACTCCTGTTGTCTGCGCTCTAATCTTTCTAGGGAACCAATTGAGCTCAAACTTTCTCCAGTACAGCTTAGCATCTTTGGAGGATGGGAACGGATGGGAAAAGAAAACAAAGACGATGCAGAAGTACTGGCGACGATGGTACCTGAGAATCCGATTGATTTAGTCCAGGATGTAACTACCGATTGTTCAGTTGTAGCGAGCCTTTGTGTTATTGTCGCCCGCGCTTCCAAGGGTAATTCAGGGGTATGGTCATAAAGATTGAACATCTTACAATTTTGCTAATTACAGCCTAGCTACTGCGCTCTATTATCCACCCCTACAATGAAACCGAAGATCGGCCTGAAATCTCGAGGAATGGGCGATATATATTTCGTCTTCAATTCAATGGATGCAACAGGAAAGTGACAATTGATAACCGACTTCCTACGTCTACTACGCTAAGGAGCCTTCATGTTTTTGATCGGAACAACCCTCGACTAATCTGGCCAGCTTTACTTGAGAAGGCTTATCTAAAAGTCCATGGCGGATATGATTTCCCAGGCTCGAATTCTGGAACAGATCTATGGGTTATTGCGGGCTGGATACCTGAGCAAATATTCCTCAGAAGGTGAAATTCACATGATAGCTCCTAATATCTGCAGTCACTGATACATAGTCCTAGCGATGACGTTCATTACGAGCAACTCTGGCATCGTGCCTATAAAGCGTTTGGCTACGGAGATGTTATGATAACTCTAGGGACTGGGAAACTAACAAACAGAGAGGTCGAGGAGCTTGGTCTCGCCGCAAAACATGATTACGCCGTTCTAGAGATGAAAGAGATCAACTCACGGCGGCTTTTACTGATTAAAAATCCTTGGTCAGACGGAATGGTATGGAGAGAGTCATACTCTCAACCCTCTACATGTACACCTGAAGTAGAGGAACCATTAAAAGATGTCAATGATAAATTGCTAGATCTCTCCATTTCAACGAATGGGACTTTTTGGATGAACTTTGATAGTGTAGTTCAACACTTTGAATCATTTTACCTTAGCTGGAATCCAGGACTCTTTCTCCTTCGAGAAGATCATCATCTCACCTGGAATTTAAATAAAACGAAGGCCTTTGGATCTTTCGTCGACAACCCTCAGTATAGTTTAATCTCAACAAATAAAGATACAGTTTGGATTTTACTTAATCGTCACTTTTTACCGGACGAGAATAAAATTAGCAAAGGTACTAATAGTTCTTTCGTAGCAGTATCATGTACTCCAGGATACATAAGCCTACATATTTTTAAGGGAAATAGCCACAAGGTTTATTTAGACGACGGTGCACAACATCGAGGTGCTTTCGTAGATTCGCCGCAAACACTCGCCAAGTTGGAAGTACTTCCATCAGTACCCTACACCCTTGTTGTCTCCCAATATGGTCTCCCGCCGTTCAACTATCCATTTACGCTCTCATGTTTTTCTCGATTTCCGGTGACATTCAAGCCTGCCGTGGAACGATTTCCCTTTCGTTCAAGTCATGCTGGGGTCTGGAATTCACGTACAGCAGGTGGAAACGTAAGGATCTCGTCATATCCATCAAATCCTCAATTTCGTATCTCTCTTACGTCCAAAGCCGACGTCGAACTGATTCTAGAGACAGATAAAGAAGATCTTGCTGTACATGTAGACATGGTTTGGGCAGGTGGAGATCGTGTTACTTCCGTGACTAAGAAAGACATTGTCGGGGACTCGGGTAACTATAGACGTGGCTGTGCCTTGGCATTTTTACAAGATGTTACCGCAGGTTCCTACACCATCGTATGCTCAACATTTGAGTCGGGCCAGAACGGTAATTTCACCTTACTTGTTGTGTCTTCTATAGAATGCCAGATAAGCCCGATTTTGTCAGAGGATGCGGGACGATACTGTCTGACTCTGTCATCGGTTGTTTTCGAAACGAGTGTCAATAAGGTGCAGGCACCTATTTATGTTACTCGTATGACCACTTTGAGCCTTGTGGCCAAGTTTCCCTTAAAAATCTCGTCGATGTTCAGACCATCTCTCAAGTTATCATTGATGGAAGGTCAAGGAATGCCAACCAAAAGTTTAGGCGTCTCGGGAGACGGAACATTTAGTGACGAGCCAATGGGAATCAGGTTGAAAGACTTAAATCTCATACCCAAGAAAGGCTCATCGGATGATTATTGGATCGTTGTTGAACGTCTTGGTGGAAGAGATAATGTAGATAATTTTGATTTAGAGGTTCTCAGTGACATTCCTGTCACGGTGGGAACATGGAGGGCGTAATGGGTGATTCTATTATTTCGGTTGCGACTTGCCTTCCTTTACGACACATTCTCGGCAAGGCTCCATAATATGTAAGAGTCATAGCATTTGCTGATACCAAATTAACATGGTGAATATTGTTATACTTACTGACTGTCCCTGAAAATGCTGCGAAGCGTAAAACTGATGGTCTTGATGCATCGCCAAAATCTACAATAGCGAACGAGACTAGGAGCTTGGTCGCATCCAGCTCAATGAGACAACAACACGTCAAAAGAGTCATCCAACATGTATGCATAGCACCGGTCATGTGTCACAGCTAGATAGCTGAATACACATTAAATGATTTAAAAAAAAAAAAAAAAAAAAAAAAAAAAGAGACAGCAGCCTACAAAGCATAAGGAACCTGCTACAGTAGGAGGGTAAAACTGAACACCTATATGCGGTGTCCACTACGAACCTGGGAGTGAAATGTTTTCCTAGAGCTAAATTCGATCAAATTTTGCAGTGCTGAAAAAGTTGGCCCGCGAGGCAATGATTCAGGACTCTCCACCCAATCAATTTCTCCCATCTAACGAGATTAATCCCCATCAAGACCTCATCAATTTTACAGGTGTTGGAAATATCACGCAATGAAACGGGCGTAATATTTTTGAAACAGAAGTAGAAGATGACTAAAAGAGTGTCATGTTCGGATAACAGCTAAAAGTGTTGGAAGTGTGCGCTACACAGAGCATAAGCCACAGCATAAACGAGTGTGGAGCCATATCGGCATAGAAAACCCCCAAGAACCTTTTTGTGCCCTCGCCATACAGCCACTTATATTTCCAGTAGGAAGCCTGAAGTGCTACCATATCATCCATTCCAACCTCTTTAATACACACAAGATTGTGTCGGGAACCTGGACGAAATGGAGGGCCCGTAAGTCCACAACACTCTATGTATCCATTTCCAATAACAGGTACAACTTAGTACATCCTCATGTAAATGACCACACCACACCTCACATCGACTATTCTCTAGCCTCAGCTAGCTACCAACTGCACACTCACACTGATATTTAAATCCGACGGAGGAAACAAATCGTGGCGCACAAATCTTGGAGGCAGTTCTATGGGATAGGTGCGTGAGAAATTAGGACAAGTTAACAAGATGATTCAGAGAATAGATACAATCTCGACGGGCATGAAATTCTGAAATTAGGCAAGGAGTTTTACAAATTGAGTTTTGTGCGTGCCAATACTTTTGCTGCGAGAGTGCAGGCGACACTTTAAGTACAAGTCAACGATGTAAGGTGCAGTGGTCTATCTTCTAGTGGTGTTCTTTGGTATAGTTTGAGTAGCCTAGGTACCTACTCCATTTGGGAAGGAGACACCTAAGACCACATTTCGCGCGGAGAAATTTGAACGGATGATGGAGGCATTTCTGGCAAACCCAGGGTTTTTGAGACGTTTCCCCTGGGTGGCTATTCATAGATGAGAGCTGCATGGGGTGAAGAAAAATCCGCCATAACTTCGCAGTCGTACTTGCAAATGAAAAAAGAAGCATCTGTGCTCTTGCCTTGAAATTGAGTCATCTATTCATTACTTTTTCTCTAGTGTTGTGTCATAGATAATTAGATGTATACGCAATCCAAATCTGATGTAAAAAAGAATCTGCTATATTGGGTTCGACTAACGGTCTTATAGTGGATTTTAGGACTTGTCCGTAATGAAGGAGTTCAGCGAATCAATGTAGGTTAACAGTAATCGTTAGCATGCTGAAATGGAAACAGCGCGTAAATTTTCTTCCTCTGTGAATGGTTCTAAGGAACAGAAAGCTCCACGATTGTCAGTTTTGTCGTATACCGACTCCCAGCTTACACTGTATAATCAGCAAAACGTTGCTTAGTAATGTCACCGTCCTTACTTAAATTTGAATTCCAAACCAGTCACATGGTCTGTATCATCCTCATCTCTTGGCACATTCCCCCAACATCTTTATCATGAAATTGGGCAGGATCAGATCAAACGGTTGGGTCGAAGCTCTAATCATCCACTCTTGGTGGTGGAAAAGGAGTCATGCAATGAGTTTCTGGTATGTACCCAGCACCCGATACAGAGATGGTGGATTGAATCAAGTCGACCTCGACTGTTACAAAGAAGGAAGATATAGATGAATATGCGCACCCCGTGTGGTCCCGATGTCTAGGCCTCGCCTGGCTGGGGCTGCAGGTTTCTTGAGACTTTTTCCCGCGCAAGCAGTTTTCATTTTTTCCATTTTTTTTGGGTAGAAGGTTCCATGGAATGGGTGGCTGAATTCCACGGGTAAATGCTGAGCTGAATGGCCATTCATCACGGGCAATATATGTGTGTGTGTTTTATTGTACTACTTGAGTCTATGACTATCTAGCACATTGGGCTCCTCTCTGATCCATGCCACACCATGTACAGTGCTCCTATCCTCTTTTGTTACTTGAAAGATCATTGATATATCCCCCTTGATGAGTAGCCAAGTAGCTCAGTATTTACCCGTGGAATTCAGCCACTCATTCCATGGAACCTTCTACCCAAAAAAAATGGAAAAAATGAAAACTGCTTGCGCGGGAAAAAGTCTCAAGAAACCTGCAGCCCCAGCCAGGCGAGGCCTAGACATCGGGACCACACGGGGTGCGCATATTCATCTATATTTTCCTTCTTTGTAACAGTCGAGGTCGACTTGATTCAATCCACCATCTCTGTATCGGGTGCTGGGTACGCTCCGGAAACTCATCGGATGGATTTTCCTCCGTGATCAAGGTTTGGTGATGAGTAGGACTCCGACCCTACCATCTGATCTGATCGTGGTTAGCTTCATGATGGTGGTGATAGGGGAATGTGTCCAGAGATGAAGACGATACAGACCGCGAAAGAGGAGGGCAAGACTGAACACCTGTACGCGGTGTCCTCTACGAACCTGGGAGTGAAATATTCTCCCAGAGCCAAGTTCAGTCAAATTTCGCAATATCAAAGAAGTTGGCCCACGAGGCAAAATTTAAAATTACTCCTCCCCGTCGTTTTTTCGCTCCCAATGAGTTAGACTCCTACCTAAGTCTCATCAAGTCTACAATTACGACCTAGTACATCCTCATCCCAATGACCACACCTCTCTTCGACCTTCTCTGGTCTCAGTTGACCACCAAATACACGCAGATGCCGATATTTATACCCGACGGAGGAAGCAAAGCGTGGCGCACAAATCCGGAAGATAGTCCTTTGAGATGGACGTGAGAGGGGTCAGGACAAGTTGAGAAAATGATGCAAAGGAAGGATCTAACCTTGAAGGGCGTGAAATTCTGAATTTTGGCAAGGAGTTTTACGAATTGAGCTTTATGCGCGCCAAGACTTCGCTTGCGAGAGTGCAGCTGACACTATAAAAACAAGCAAAAACGATGGAAGGTGTTGAGGTCCGCCTCCTGGTGGTGTTCTCTGGTATAGTTTGAGTAGCCTGGGCGCCTACTCCACTTGGGAAGGAGACACCAAAGACCATATTTCGCGCGGAGAAAAGTTGAAAGATGATGGAGGCATGTCTGGATAACTCAGGGTTTTTGAGACGTTCCCCTAGGTGGGTATTCACGGATGAGGGTTGACTTAGGGTGAAGAAAAAGCCACCATAACTTCGCAGTGGTACTTGCAAATGAAATCTGAGGCATGAGTGCTCTTCTTGTAAATTGAGTCATCTTTTCTGTACTTTTCTTTGATATTGTGTCATAGCTAGATAGCTGCATACGCAATTAAAATCTTATGCAAAAAAAAAAAAAAGACCGCGAAAGCAATTGGGAATCCTCTTCGAATAGAGGACTTTGTTACTCAATCTCGGCACTGCTGACTTTACAGTGAGAGCTAGAGGTTCGTAGGGGACACCGCTGACAGGTGTTGAGGATAGTCCCCCAAAAAAATCACAGCAATCGGATGTTACATCGTCTGAAGATCGGATGGCGGTGCTGGGAATCGAACCCAGATTGAAACGGATTATCGTGTTTAGACCACAACGTCACGTGCTACCATTACACCACACCACCTCGACGAAGTTACATAATCAATGTTCTTACAAGAAACATAAGAGGCAAGGAGACTGTACATGGTGTGGCCTGGGCCAGATAGGAGCCCAATGTACTAGAAAGTGATAGATTTAAGTAGTACAATAAACACACCATCTCTCTCTATCTCTACCGTTTGTCCCACAACCTTGGTAAAACCCACTCAATATGGCCTCACAATTCTCGTCAAAAAATCCGCTCTCTCCATTTAAGGTTCAACCCAGTGTTTATAAATAATAAATATCTATATCTCAAGCTTATTAACGCTTGCCGAAAGGGAGGGCAAGACTGAACACCTGTACGCGGTGACCTCTACGAACCTGGGAGTGAAATATTCTCCCAGAGCCGAGTTCAGTCAAACTTCGCGATACCGAACAAGTTGGCCCACGAGGCAATGATTCAGAATACTCTTCCATATCAATCTTTCACTCCCAACGAAATCGATTCCTACCTAAGCCTCATCAAGTTTACAAGTACGACCTAGTACATCCTCATCCCTATGACCACACCTCTCTCCGACCTTCTCTGGCCTCAGCCGGTCACCAAATACATGCCCACGCCGATATTTATACCCGACGGAGGAATCAAAGCGTGGCGCACAAATCTGGAAGACTGTTATTTGGGATGGACGTGAGAGAATTCCGGATAAGTTCACAAGATGATGCGAAGGATGGATACAGTCTCGACGGGCGTGGAACTTTGACAAGGAGTTTTTACAAATTGAGCTTTGTGCATGCCAAGTCTTCGGCTGCGAGAGTGCAGGCGACACTTTAAAAACTGCCATGGTTGGATGGTGCGGTGGTAATCGTCTTGGCCGGTCTGCCAAGTAGAGTCTTGATAGCTTGGACACATATCCCACTTGAGATAGTAGATCGCTGGTTCAAATCCGGCAAAACACACCCGCTTTTCTCGCGGCGCTGGTATGCATGGATAACCAAAGGTTTCGAAATTCCCTTTGGTGTGT